CTGGGTTTATCTCAATCCACGTATGTTGACAAGATGCTAAAGAGGTTTAGCATGGAAGGGTCGAAAAGGGGTTTTCTTCCCTCAGTCATGGGGTACATCTTTCAAAGGCTATGTGTCCTAAGTCACGGCCTGAGAAGGATCGCATGAGTAGAATTCCATACGCTTCGGCTATTGGATCCATCATGTATGCCATGATATGTACGAGACCAGATGTCTCATATGCTTTGAGCATTACGAGCAGATATCAGTCGAACCCTGGAGAGGGTCACTGGACAGCAGTCAAGACCATCCTTAAATACTTAAGAAGAACTAAGGATGCGTTTCTGGTCTATGGTGGGGTTGATGAGCTAACAGTGAAAGGGTTCACTGATGCCAGCTTTTAGAGTGACAAAGATGACTGCAAGTCACAGTCAGGGTTCGTATTCACCTTAAATGGTGGGGCAGTATCTTGGAAGAGTTCCAAGCAAGAGACAACAACAGATTCAACGACAGAAGCTAAATATATAGCTGCTTCAGAAGCAGCTAAGGAGGTCGTGTGGATCAAGAAGTTCATATATGAACTTAGGGTGGTTCCAAGCGTGGATGAGCCCATACAGTTGCTTTGCGACAACACTGGAGCCATTGCGCAGTTAAAGAAACCTAGGTCTCATCAAAGATCTAAGCACGTGCTCCGCAGATATCACCTGATTAGAGAAATCATTGATAGGATGGATGTAAAGATGGATTATATTCCCACAGATGATAACCTAGCCGATTCTCTGACAAAGGCTATTTCTCAGAGAAAACATGATAGTCATTATGAGGCTTTGGGTATACGACTTAGGTCTGATTGGCTCTAGGCCAAGTGGGAGCTTGTTAGTATATGGATGTCCTAGAGACAATCTTTTAATTAGATTAGGACATGTGTGGACCTTTGTATTGTCGTAAATAAATAAAAGCACTATTTATCCTATTTCATATTTTGTCTCAATATTACTGTTAATATTTTATATGAGTAACTGGATAAACCCCTTGGAATAAAATAGGTATCTCTTGAGTATCTGTGATGAGATCACGATCATGAGGATTCAAGGATACTGGATATTTATTCCTAATTTTATGTTCCTAGTCTAGAACACTGAGAATGGGAATCAGTGATCTCGGGTAAGACTAGCACAACTTATCTACTTGTATTCAGATGCAAGGTAAAGACCTCATGAGCTACAGATATGGAGATGTCTTAGCTAAAGTCGTGGGTGGATCTATAAGGGTATAGCTCGCACTGAACAGACCCACAAAAAAGACTCTATGAGGAAATCTCACAGAGAGTATCATTAGAGCAGTCTCTTTATATTTGAGTATGTCTTTCCTTAGACCAGAAGTTATTACCTAGACTGTGTTCTAGAAGGCATGCTTTGACTGTATACCTTGTCTGCCTGAAACATGGAGACTCATAGGTATACTGTTGGGCTTGTCCTGAAAGAGCACATGGCTAGGGTGATAAGTCTGAAGGAATTCGTCAAATCTCTGTGAGAGATTAGGTTATCTGTAAACCAGAGAAATCAGGATGACATTTACAAGGACTCGGGAATCTATGCATAGTAAAAGAGATCATGAGATGATCTGCCTTTAGAGTCAGTAAATTGAAGATTCCCTATTTCGAATAAAGCTTGCCCTAAACCGCAAGGGTTGATACGCTTCCTTACCCTAGGTTTTATGGGAAGGTAACCGAGACGAAAAGAAATACATACGGCAACCAAATATGTGTAATAGGATGATCAAGTCATTAATCTAACTAGCTCTGGGGCAACAAAGCATTGCTAGTGCTCTGTGTTGTCACTAAATGGGTTGTGGGCTTCTTGAGCCCGAGCCCATTTAAGTCAGTGGCTATGTTGGACCTAATGGGTCACACACTAACACCTTAATGTCATGATGTTATAGCATTAAAGGTATTGGGCCTAATAATGGTTGTTAGCCCAAGATGAAGTTTGGAAGCCCACCTAAGAGGGAGAGGGCGCATGGTATTGTTAATGGGCTTGGATGGTCCAAGACATTACTAATTAATTTAATTAGTTAAATTAATTGTCAAATATTTAAATTTTGAATTTTGAATTTTGATTTTGAATTTTGAATTTTGAATTTTGAATTTTGAATTTTGAATTTTGAATTTTGAATTTGAATTTTGAATTTGAATTTTGAATTTTGAATTTTGAATTTTGAATTTGAATTTTGAAATTTGAAATTTGAAATTTGAATTTGAATTTTGAATTTTGAATTTTGAATTTGAATTTAGAATTTAAATGTTTGAAAGTTTGAATTTAAATGTTTGAATTCGAATTTGAATTGGCTATGAAAAGTTGTTTCATAACAAAAGGATAAGATGAGATGTTGTTGGAACAAATCCCTTGTATCAAGAGAAGATCTATGGAGATCTCCAAGGGCTGATTTGGGGTGCCATTTTGGTGGGAGATGATTGTCATCTTGTCAAACCAACAAGCTCCAATCAGATTTGGTTGTTGAGAGAATTAGTGAGCTAGTTGGTTCAAACTTGAATGCAAAATGTATCTAGACCCTTTTTGGGCTGAATAGGGGCGCATGAATTGGTGGTCATATGATGACCATTGGTTCAGAATTTTGACTAGATAAAGACCTAGTCTTATGAGGATTCAAAGGGGAGGTTGTTGGGATTTTTGAATTGCAACAACTCCACTTTTGTCTCACTCACTTGTGCGCCACTTTCATTATAAGTAAAGTAAAAATTCTGATTTGATACACTAATTCTCTCCCTCTCTTGTGCGCCTAGTTGGTGAGTTCCTCCTTAAGGTTTTTCAAAAGAACCTAGCCAATTCTTCTATATACCATTCCCACTCTTGTGAAGTTTTCATGCTGGAGACTTCACTCTTCTAAACACATATACCTAGCCTCCTTCTTCACCTATTGAGCGCATAGCAAGCCTCTTTGTGGGTAGTCAATTGGTGGCTTTCAAGAAAGCGTTCTTGCATCTTAACGTGGGTGGTGTGGATCAACGTTAGAGGGTTTGAACCCTTCAAACCTAACATTGATCGTTTTGGAGTTTTGAACTCACAAACAAAGGTAACATCACATGCCATAAAGCATGATTCTTGATTGGATGTGTAATTCCGCATATGAAAAATTTTGTTTTTCCCTCTCACATGCGACGGCTTTCAAGGCCATTTTACCTTCAGTTACAACATTTGGCTATAATGGGCAACAAGGATTGGTGATTCTCGGTTATGTGTAGGTGTCATAGCTACATGTGGGTAACATGAAAAAAGAACAACAACAATGTAATTGTTATTTTATAGAGAAAGTTTTGGGCTTTGGATTTGGTGATGAGGCTATTATAGATTAAGTAGTGTAATAAAAATCGGATCGGCCGATTCGAACCGGAAACCAGTAAATTGGTCACGTGGCCGATCTGGATAGAGTAATAGAACGAAGATGTAAGTGACTCGGTGTGACCCGGTGCGAATCGGAGTGAACCGACAAGTTTTACTAAAACCGGTGACTCCCGGGTCAAAAAAAAATTGTTTGGGATGAAACTGAATAGTGAAGACACAGAGAATGAGAGGAGGAGTCGAAGACGATGAACAAAGAGGAGTCGAAGACATTAGAAAAAGCATTGCATGATGTCCAGCGACCATTGAAGAAAAGAAATAAAGAGAAAAACTAAAATTTCAAAACCATTAACAAGAGAAAGAGAAAACGAGAGAGAGGGACTTGCAAAATAAAATCACAAAACCGTGGGCTGGTTTCACTTTTTGGTTCCTGGTTTCATTTGGGCCACTCATTTCTTATCTATATCTTCTTCTTTTATAATTTTGTTATTATTTAAATTTACAATTCTTTATTTATATTATTTTTACTTTCTTTATTATATTGGGTACTGTATTGTGTTTTTTTTATTTTGATGCAATAAATATTTATTTTATGTCATAATTTTTTTTAAAAATTGAAATATGAAATATATATTTTAAATTTATATATATTTATCCGATTTAAGTGATTGAATCAATGACTCACTGACCCAGTACCTCAACTGCTTCGATCATCGAGCCAGGCTGATAACATTGAGATTGAGGAGATTATTCATAGTAGTCCTGACACACTTGCTCCTTCCATTGAGAAGCTGTCACTTAGATAAAAATAAAATAAAATTTCTCTTTCTTCCATGTAAGCAAGTCAAAAAATACTAATTTTTCATTGACTTGGACCACTGAATCATAAATAGACCTGGATCATATTAGAGGGTGTTGTGAAGACAAAATTAAATATTTCCGAGATTGAAAGTGTTGTGAAGACAAGATATGATTTGAAGCAAGGGAGTATTGGTTGTTCAAGGTGAAGAATGTGAATGCAAAAAGCTACATATTTAGAGAGTGTTTTCTGCTTATTTTCTGTTTAAAGTGCCAAATGGGGAAAACATTGTTCATCATAGTAGCAAATTGAAGGTTACAGACATTTTTGTTTAAAATTATTAAATATGTTTAATTGATATAATGTTAAAGTATAAGGGGGTTAATTAGTTCAATTAAGAGTATATAGTGGTTTTTTGAAAAGTCATATAAGTTGAAAGACGTTCTATGTAATTTATCCTAAAAATAATTATTCTGAACTAATTTTTAAAATATTATTCTTAACAAATATAAATTATGAACCCTTAGCCATCCATCACCTAAGCCGTCCATTAGGAACGATCAACGGTCAGCCATCTGTTAAGCTAGTGGCAACAGATTTACTGCAACGATCTCAAGAAAATAGCCACGTCATGGACTCGCAAAAAAAGAACAAGCACCGTCCAACTTTAATAATCAACGGTCGAGCCCTTCGGAAACCATATGACGAGGATCCCGATCTGAACCCGTCCATTATAACATATCAACGGTCAAAAATCGCATTTGACATTTCAAAACCAAAACAACCCCTCTCTATATAAAATTAACCAAACTACCGCGTTTTTTTCAAAATTCAAATCAGATTGAAACACAAGAATCATCGTGGGTGCTAGCTCTCACAAGTTCTGTCAGTGTGAAAATGTCGGGTCGTGGAAAAGGTGGCAAGGGTTTGGGAAAAGGAGGTGCTAAGAGGCACAGAAAGGTTCTTCGCGATAACATTCAGGGCATTACCAAACCTGCGATTCGGCGTTTGGCTCGACGTGGAGGAGTTAAGAGGATTAGCGGTCTGATCTACGAGGAGACTCGCGGTGTCTTGAAGATTTTTCTGGAGAATGTGATCCGTGATGCTGTTACCTACACGGAACACGCTAGGAGGAAGACGGTGACCGCCATGGATGTCGTTTATGCCCTTAAGAGGCAAGGCAGGACCCTCTACGGTTTTGGTGGTTGATTCCACGTCCTGAATTTTAGGCTTTTTTGTGGTTGTAAATTTTTGTATAATTGGTTGTGTTTTTAATGCTTCTTGATAGGCAAAACGACCATACTAAGAAGAATTTTGAAATGTATCTCAAACTCAAAGCACTTTTGAAATGTTTCATCAAAGTAAAGTAGTTAAATGCATCAAAAAGATTGACGAGAGCAGTCCCATAAAATTATCTAACGTGATTGCATACCATGTAGGATCTGGCAACCAATTTAGTTGAAGAAATTAACGTCAATCCCTCCACCATAGATGACGCGGCTTGTTGCTTTAGTGCCACAAGGGGTCTTGTCACCTCACCTCATGAGATTGGCCTGCATTGCATTTTTTTTTTTTTTTTTTAAGGAAAGGACCTAACAGTCCAAAAAAAATAACTAAACAATATAAACGTTCTTAATGTTAGTAACAACACAAATATAAGTAAAAAGTAAATAGCTAAGCTCAGGAGGAACATGATTAAACTCTTTATAAATAGAGTTCTGGCGGGGGCAAATCAAATGGTTGGCAAGTCAATTAGCACATTGATTTCCTTCACGGTGAATGTGTTGAGCCTTGAGATCTCAATCTTTATTCATCCAAGTTCGAATGCTAGTAACAATATGCGACTCTCGGACATCATTACCTTTACTAATAAGCAGCGATCACCGAAGTGGAGTTACTTTCAATAATAAGTTTCTTAAACCTTTTTTTCCAAGCAAATTCCAAACCTTTCAAAATACTCCATAATTCTGTTGTAAAAGCTGATACAATACCCACATGATAAGCAAAACCCCTAGCCATTGACCATTAGATCCTCTACATAATCCTCCGCATGCAGCTACTCCTGGAGATCTTTTGGCTGCACCATCTGTATTTAACTTTATCCATCCATGATCTGGTGACTGCCATGCAATATGTATCTGAGATAACATTCCAGCCTTCTTCTTGTTGCCTTTATCGCCAAAAGCTTGCTTGATATCCAAAGCCATGCATTGCACCTTACGCACAAGAAGAAAATCAGCAGATCCTTCCTTTCCGTGATAAACAGCATTTCTATCGTTCCACAACTCCCAACAAGTTAAAAGGAAAATGGTATCCCAATTTAGACTGCTGGGTCATGACCTATCGTTACATATGTTAGAAGACACCCAATCCACCCAATCCAAATCATAGAAAGAAGCCTGCCGCCTGGTTGATAGCATTTTATCCCACACTGTTTTTGCCACAACACAATCTCTCAATACATGAAAGTCTGTCTCATATGCGCTAAGACATCGAGAACAGACAGGATTCGCGTCTAACCATCTCGCAGCCCATGCTCTAGTTGGCAATCTACGGTGGAGACATTTCCACATGAAAATCTTCACTCTCTCTGAACCCTTCCAATGCCCAAGAGCATTCCACACATGATTTGGAATACTATGATTAACAAGTAGAACTCGTTTCTGTAAAAGTACCTGATTGGCATCCTTAAATTACAGTCGTACTATTTTCAATCCCATAAGCACTATTTAATCAATTAAAAACACTAGAAACCTTATGATAAGTACAATCGTACTATTTTTCAATTCCAATTACTATTTAAACAATTACACTAATAACAATTTTCATTATTGATTACAGAATTTTCTACCTGGTACATATATGACATTGTTAAATTAAAGATGAGTACTAATAATTTACACAGCAATTTCATTCAATTTCGATGAAGTATATTTCAATTGAAAAATTCTTTTGAAAAATATGTTTTCGACGGAATTTTCATTGTTTGCATAATTTATTGGAAAATATAAAAATTATTAAAAAATTATAAAATATGCATAATAATTAAAAATTTATCATTAAATTTTAAAAATATTAAATATAAATATAGACAATTTTATTTTTGCGAATGGACATGTATATTTTCAACTTTTTAAAAGTAATATTTTTTAATTTTTTATTTTCAAAATACAAACTTTTCTACATTACTTTTCAAACTACACTTTTTTATTCTAAAGTGAGAAATCCAAACCAACTTTTAATGACTTAAAAAAAAATCTCGTCAAGAAGTCAGTTTTCTAATTCCATTTTTTAATGGTTTTGAAAAAATATTTACAAAAAATTTATCAAGAACCAACACTACGCAAGCTTAAATGGATCAAATTATATGCCACTTAATCATAGAAGTTCCAATATTATGCGATGCAAGTCAAATTGGTAAGAACCAAATATAGTGTGAAAGGATTTGTATATTAAAATATAAAGAATATTTTATTTACCTATACAAGTCGAATATTTGCCGAAAAAAATAATACGGATATTTTTGGCAGAGGGTAAATTATATATTATGTAATTACGGTAGGTCTTAACAATAAGTGAGAAACAAAAAGTGAAGTGAGTATAGTCGTAAGTGGTAACCATAATAGTTAAAATTTCAATTTATCACTACGATTTTATATTTTTATGATTTTTTTTTATGAAAACTGTTCTGCCTGAGGCAGATATGTCTAACCGGAGGTTAGATGATTGATGTTAGATCTGATACTTTCTCTTTAGATACCTATGAATTGGGTATTTTGGGGACAACGAATCACGACACACTATATCACTGGCGGACCCACGTTGGGTCACATGTCCGTAAGTGCGGACATGTGATTTTGGATTTTTTTTATTTTTTTTTAGTTATGTAGATTATTATTTGTCTCTTGGTTCAATATTTATAGTAGGAGTAAATATCATTTTAAGTCCCTAACAAAAAATATGGTTTCCATTTTAGTCCCTTATCAAAAATTAGTCTCGAAGAAGTCCCTAAAAAATTCAAAGTGGATCAATTTAATTAAAATCGTGGTCCATCACAAATTCATAAAAGACCTACATTAGTCTCAAAAAGACTAAAATAGGTCCACTTTAAATCTCATAGGGACCAAGTGACTCCTTTTTTTTTTATAATGGACTAAAATGGGGACCGAATTTTTTGTTAAGGACCAAAAATGATATTTATTCTTATATTAGTTAGCAACTTATAGAGATGATTAAAACAACGTAGCAACACAAACTGATTAGAGAGAAAACTTATTCTTCCTCCCCTGTCACGTACCCATTCCCATGATTTCTTCATCCTTTGTTATAGAAACAACTAGATTATGAGCGGGTTCAAGCGTTAATTTAAACTTATTTTACAAAAAAAAATTCGGGGGCAGCCACTAAATGTGCGGACATAGAGAAATTTTCCTGGGTCCGCCACTGCACTATATAACGGCCTTAGCCAGAGGGGATGCGTGTGTGCGCGCTGTGTGATTGCATAAAAGTTTAAAAAAGATCAGTCATTTCTGTGATCTTCAGCTCCTATTTATAGGGTTTACCTTTGGACTTATGTTGTCTGGGCCCTCTATGGATATGGGCCTTACTCACGTTCATAACAAAAATAATTTTACTAATATTCTAAACAAAAAACAATTTTACTAATATTCTAAACGCTTTTACGTTTTAATGAATTTTTACGATTTTTTTATGTTACAATTTTAGGTTTTATGATTTTTTATTCTTCTTCTTATGATTTTAAGTAAAATTTTGATTTTAACTAGTGGTAACTCATATTTACCACTCATAATCACATTGGCTGAAACTGAAATCTTCCCAACAAATGGAATAAACGCATGTACAAAGTTTTTCATGTTGTTTTAAGTTAGACATGAAGATCGACCAACCATATTGTCTTTCATATCGTTTGATAAAAAGCTTACACAATGTTTTTAAATGGACCAAACTTTAAAAACGAATCATAGAACATGAGAATGTGAGAGAGTGCAGTTGTAATATTGTTTTAAGCGGCTTATATTTACAAACTTTTGTACAATATGTATTCCAGAAAATACATTACGTTATATCATGTACTGTATGTTCGGGAGAGTACAAAAAATTTTAACGACGAAACTCGCAGGTTGCAGTGGTGACGACACAACAACAGTTTGTAAGTTATGTCGAAAGAGAAACAACACTGCAAATAGAGAGAGAGAGAGAGAGAGAGAGAGAGAGAGAGAATGAGTGGTGAAGAAGGGAACCCTTTGGAGTTCACTCCAACATGGGTTGTTGCTGTTGTTTGCAGTGTGATCGTTGCAGTTTCCTTAGCCGTCGAGCGTTTACTTCATTATCTTGGGAAAGTTCTCAAGAAGAAGAATCAGAAGCCACTCTATGAAGCTCTTCAAAAAATCAAAGAAGGTTCTCTTTTTTTTATTATTATTATTAAATTGCATTTTGAATCCGTATTCTCTTGTTCATGTTCTGATCCGAAAAATGTGATGTGTTGGGTTTTTATTTCAGAGTTGATGCTGTTGGGTTTTATTTCTCTGCTTCTAACGGTAACACAAAATGGGATAACAAAAATCTGTGTTCCACGAGGTTGGACTCGCCATATGCTTCCTTGTAGCCCTGAGGATAGAGACAACGAAGAATCAGAAACACACACATCACATTTTCTGAACTTTTTCTCATTCGCTGTTATTTCTGGCACTTCTAGGCGCCTTTTAGCTGAGGGAGGACAAGAAACAGAGGCAAAACTTGAATACTGCGCTGCCAAGGTATTAAAACAATAGGATTTGGTTCCTCATTAGGTACAGGGTGCACTTTTTGGCCTTTTTTCGGGCCACATCATATTCATAATGTTATTTTGACAATTTTTATTTAATGATTTTCTCCTGGATCGCGGAGCCATCAAATTTTATAAAGAGAAGCGAAATTGCAACAATTATATATATGACCAAAAAAAAATAGATATAAAGAATCAATTCAATCCAAAAACTTAAGCTAGCGGGTGAGGTTACATTAATGGTTTTATATATCTCTAACACGCTCCTTCATACGAGAGCTTATTGGGCTTGAAGGGTGGATAATGTACAGACCCACCTAATTGTGCTAAAAAATTCCACAATAAAAAATGGGGGCGGTGAGAATCGAATCAGTGACACCAAGACTCTAATCGAATCAGTGACACTAAGACTCTGATATCATATAAAGAACCAATTCA